CAGTGGTTAAAGCGCACTGGCTGCTCTTCCAGAGGTCCTGAGTTCAATTCCCAGCACCCACATGGTGGCTCACAACCATCTGTAATGAAATCTGGCGCCCTCTTCTGTATACATAATAAACAAACAAACAAACAAACAATGTGTCTAGGATATTGAGGGAGGGGCAGGAGAAGGAAGCATGGTGGTTGTTTTCTCACCCAGCTCCTTGAGGCAGTGACACTAGAGAAGGCTAGAGCTTCTACCCACTGTTCCACTTCACGGTACCAAGCTTGTAGGGGGGTGTAGGGCATGAGCTTTCTGGGGTTTTCAGCCTTATTGATCTCTAACTTGATCCTGTTTTCCACTTCCGCAGGTGACGGAGATTGGCAAAGATGTGATTGGTCTGAGGATCAGTCCTCTTCAGTTTCGCTAAAGCCCCTTCATGTGCATGGGTTAATCACTTATTGTCCCTTCAGAGAATCTAGCCCCCAGCCCGCCACTCTCCCCTTACATTCACTCTTCAGCTTGTTGACATCTGGTTCTCCCTAAAACTTCATGTCCTTTCTCTTCTGTGGCAAATCAGACTTTTCACGCTGGACTTTCTTGCTCCTGCAACCTCTCTCCTGAAGATGACTGGTTGTGATCATAGATGACTTTGAATTTTAACTTGGGTCTTCCAAGGAACAAATGAAAACTTTGTGCTGGACATTTGTTTAGCAAATTCTTTCAGTATTTATTCCTCTCTCACCCACCACCTTTGTTCCTATGCCACTAGAAAACAGTGGAATCTAATAAATGCTGTTTTTCCTCAGCCACATGAAATTCGTAACTATCCCATATTTTCTTTGGGCATTTAATGTCATCAATAGGTTCCTTCCCACTGTAGGCCCAGACACTTGCAGGCTGAGAAGAAGTCTTTTATTTATTTTTTCTTTTTTTCAAAATGTGTCATTTTTCACTGATTTGTTTCTGTCCTTTATAACCATTGTTCTTATGTTTTGTGCTCACACTAAATAAAGTAAATTTCTATGGAATTCCCTAGCTTGCCATTTACTTGTTGGACACTCACTTTCATGCCCATGTTCACATCCACATAGCTCTCTCACCAGAGCAGATTCTTTGCTTCAGAATCATTTTTTAGTTATTATATTCATCATATACATTTTTAAATTAATATACACTGCAAGGAGAAATTGTTTTCTTAAGAGATTTGTGAAGCATAGATCTGTGTTGTTGGAAAATGGTTAAAAAAAAAAAAAAAGAGTTCTCTTGGGGCTAGAGAAGTGGTACAGTGGTTAAAGCGCACTGGCTGCTCTTCCAGAGGACCACAATTCAATTCCCAGAACCCATATGGCAGCTCACAACTGTCTGTAACTCCAGTTCTCGAGGATTCAACATTCTCACACAGAAATACATGCAAACAAAACACCAATAAAATAAAATTTTTTAAAAAAGTTCTCTGTTCCATTTTTTACTGAAGCTTTCTATCTGTTGCTAATTACAGCCAATATTTGCTGAGCACCCACCCATCAGTGTCCATCACTGTTCTATGTATTTGACATATTATATTCACATAGAAGATGATTAGTATATAATAAATTATATATTTACAATCAATACATAGTTGTTTTGGCTTCTTTTCCCATTGCTGTGATAACACACCCTGACAAAAGCCACTTCAGGGAGAAAGGGTTTATTTGACTCATTCCCGCTTCCAATCAATCCATCCCTGCAGGGAAGTGAAGGGGGCAGAGATCTGAAGCAGCTAGTCACACTATATCCATAGTCAAGAGCAGAGAACAATGAATCCAAGTACGCCTGCCAGTACTCAACTGAGTTTTCTTTTGCTTTTTGAGATAGGGTCTCACTTAGCTGGCCTGGAACTTGCTAGGTAGCCCTGGCTGGCCCTGAACTGACAAGACTGGGGAAAAAAGAAAAATCTACCTCTTTTCAGTACCAGCACTGGAGGCAGAGGCAGGGAGCTTTCTCCTTTAAATTGAGAACCTCAGGCCCAGCCAGTGCTGCTGCCCACTGTGGGCAGGTGTTCCCATAGCAATTATAATAAGTCTTCACAGACATTCTCTGAGGTCCTTCTACCAGGTGATTCTAGATGATGTCAAATTGATAGAAATGTCACAATTGTCAGGGCGTTTTGCTTCTATACTAAGAATGATTGGCTAAATAATGTATTACTCCTTTGCTTTAAAATACATTCAGGCCCAGCCTAGTGGCTCCATCTGTTCTAGCACTTACAGGGCTGAAACAGAGTCACAGGATTAAGACCAGCCAGGCATGGTGGCACGTGCCTTTAATCCCAGCAGTTGGGAGGCAGAGGCAAATCTATGAATTCAAGACCAACCTGGTTCATTCTACCTAGTGAGTTCCAGGTCAGTCAGGGCTACACAGTGAAATCCTGTCCAAAAAAAAAAAAAAAAAAAAAAAAGTTTTAAGACCAGAGACAGGAGAGACGGTCAGCAGTTAACCATCTCTCTACTACCCAGGTTTAATTCTACAGCACCCATATGGTAGGTAGCTCACAACCATCCATAACTTCAATTCCAGGGCATCTAACTCACCATTCTGGTACCCACATGTACTGCAGGCACATGGTACTTAAACACACACCCATCAAAACATTCAACGACAAAATCATTTTTTTTTTAAGGTTCAGGATAACCCCTGCTATTTCAGGGCCAGCCTGGACTACTCTATCTCAAAAACAACAATGGGCTAGAGAGATGGCTTAGTGGTTAAGAGCACCGGCTGCTCTTCCAGAGGACCTAGGTTCAAATCCCAGCACCCACATGGCAGCTCAAAACTGTAACTCTAGTTCCAGGGGTTCCCACACCCTCACACAGACATATATTGAGGCAAATACCGATGCACATAAAATAAAAGTTAATAAATTAAAAAACACAAACAAAAAGTAGGCTAGAGAGGTGTCTCAGCAGTTAAGAGCAAGTATTGTTCTTCCAGAGGGCCTGGGTTCAGATCCAAGCAAGGTGGTTTACAACCACCAGTAACTCCAGGTCCAGGGGAGCCAGTTGTTTTCTTTTGGCCTTCATGGACACCTGCATTCACAAGCATAAACCAGCATGTGGATGCATATAAATACACAGCTGGAGATGTAGCTCCATTGTAGAGTGCTGGCTGGCTTAGTATGTACAGGGTCCTGGATTTAGTTCCTAGCACTACTTATGGTAGCACACACCTTTCTTAAAAACTAGAGAAATGCAGGAATTTTGTTAGTCACTGGGATTTGAACCTAGGATTTTGCACATGATAGGCAAGCATTCTACTATTGAGCTATCTATATCCATGGGGGGAAAAGATGTACAAAGTATGTATTAGTTTCTTTGTGTTGTTTCTTAAGACAGGTTGTGACCTGTACAGCCAAGGACCTTAAACTTTTGGTTGTTTTGGGTTTTTCTCAAGACAGGGTTTTCTCTATGTAACAGCCCTGCCTGTCCTAGAACTCACTTTGTAGACCAGGCTGGCCGCGAACTCACAGGGATCCACCTGCCTCTGCCTCCCAAGTGCTGGGATTAAAGGCATGCACCACCACACCCGGCTCATTCAATACACATTTTAAAGTACTTTCCTCCATATCCATTTTTTTTTTTAGTTTTTCTCCGTGCATATTTTATTGTAAGTTATGAAAGCGTTTCACAGTATCTGGGTTATGGGCAACCTTTTGCAATTACCAGCATTGCTGCAATAAATAAACTTGAACATACGTTGTATGGGTGGGGGAAGTGTGCCTGAGGCTGAACTACAAGAGGAATACCTGCTTCAAAGAGTACAGGACTTTTATGTTTTCAGATCTAAGAGTTACTTTCTTAAATATAATCCTCAAACTAAGACTGCTTTCTCAAAAGTCTGTGTACTATGAAAATGTTTTCTCAAGTTTTAAACATCCTGCAAGTACAGGCAAGAATCAGGCATGGGGGTTCACACCTATAATTCAAATCCTTGGAAGGTTAAGGCACAACAAGTGCCCCAAGTTCAAGGCTAGCCTTGGCTAAAGAGTGAGACCCTATCTCAAAAACTAGACATTGTGGGAGTTACAGAGACAGCTTATCAGTTAAGAACAAATACTGCTCTTGCAGAGGACTCAAGGTTGGTTCCCAGCACCCACATCTGGAAGCTCATAACCACCTGTAAGTCTAGCTCCAGAGGGATTGCCACCTCTTGTCCCTGAGTGCAAGTGCATACACATACCTGAATGGGTATGTTCATGCACACACAATTTTAAATAATTAAAAATATTTTTTCAGATCTGGAAGAAATGGACAATTTTCTGAATAGGTACCACATACCTAAGTTAAATCAAGACCAGATAAACTATTTAAATAGACCAATAACCCCTAAAGAAATAGAAACAGTCATCAAAAGTCTCCCAACCAAAAAAACCCAGGACCAGATGATCTCAGTGCAGAATTCTACCAGATTTTCAAAGAACTAATTCCAATACTCTTCAAATTGTTCCACACAATAGAAACAGAAGGAGCACTACCAAACTCTTTTTATGAGGCTACAATTACCCTGATACCCAAACCACACAAAGATGCAACAAAGAAAGAGAATTACAAATTAATCTCCCTCATGAACATTGATGCAAAAATACTCAACAAAATATTGGCAAACCGAATCCAAGAACACATCAAAAAAATTATCCACCATGATCAAGTAGGTTTCATCCCAGAGATGCAAGGATGGTTCAACATACGAGACTCTGTCAATGTAATACACCATATAAACAAACTGAAAGAAAAAAAAAAACACATGATCATCTCCTTAGATGCTGAAAAAGCCTTTGACAAAATCCAACACCCCTTCATGATAAAGGTCTTAGAGAGATCAGGAATACAAGGAACATTCCTAAACATAATAAAGGCAATTTACAGCAAGCCAACAGCCACCATCAAATTAAATGGAGAGCAACTCAAAATGATTCCACTAAAATCAGGAACAAGACAAGGCTGTCCACTCTCTTGATATTTATTTAATATAGTACTTGAAGTTCTAGCTAGAGCAATAAGACAACAAAAGGAGATCAAAGGGATACAAATTGGAAAGGAAGAAGTCAAACTTTCACTATTTGCAGATGATATGATAGTATATATAAGTGACCCCAAAAATTCTACCAGGTAACCCCTATAGATGATAAACTCCTTCAGTAAAGTGGCAGGATACAAGATCAACT